CAACAAAGATCATATTGATGAATTGAAGGCACAACTGGCTAGGGAATTTGAAATGAAGGACTTTGGATCAGCAAACAAGATTCTAGGGATGCAAATTCACTGAGATAGAAGTAATAGAAAGATTTAGCTCTCACAAAAGAATTACTTAAAGAAGATCTTGTCACGATTCAGCATACAAGATTGTAAGCCAATTTCTACCCCTCTTCCTATTAACTTCAAATTATCCTCCAGTATGAGTCCTAGCAGTGAAAAAGAGAGGATTGAGATATCTCAAGTGTCGTATGCATCGGCAGTGGGAAGTTTAATGTTCACTATGATATGCACAAGACCAGACATTGCACAAGCAGTGGGAGTGGTTAGTCGGTACATAGCGAATCCAGACAAAGAACATTGAAATACAGTAAAGAGGATCCTGAGATACATCAAAGGGACCTCAAATGTTGCATTATGTTACAGAGGATCAAACTTACTAATCAATGAGTATGTAGATTCTGACTATGCAGGGGATTTGGATAAAAGCAAATATACTACAGGATATGTGTTCAAAATTGATGGTGGAGCTGTAAGCTGGGTTTCAAAATTGCAATCAGTTGTGGCTACATCCACAACAGAGGCAGAATATGTAGCAGCTACACAAGCCAGTAAGAAGCAATTTGGTTGAAGATGTTATTGGAGGAGCTTGGGAACAATCAAGAGTATGTCTCTCTATTTTGTGACAGTCAAAACGCCTTGCATCTAGCAAGGAATCCAACATTTCATTCAAGGACAAAACACATACGAATTCAGTACCATTTCATTCGTGAAAAGGTGGAAGAAGTGACGGTAGATATGCAGAAGATACATACCAAAAACAACATATTGAAGAAGGCGATCAATGCTGATAAATTTACTTGGTGTCGATCCTCTTGTAGCCTGTCAGAGACATAAGCAACATGATGGTACAAGGTAGAAAGAATGGTGTGAAAATATGATTGTTCCAATCAAATCTTCAAATGGGAGATTGTTGAAAATTGGTGCACATGGCACCGAATTATTTTGTCAAAGGGGGCACCGAAAAGTGCATCAATTGTTGATTTTTCAACAATGGTAAAATCTCAATTTTAGTCATTGTAATTTAGGGTATTTATAAATTAGTCCTTAAGCTTCAACTATAAATACCCTAGCTCATTTAGCTTCAAAATCATCTCAAATCATTCTAGCTTTCTCCCAATACTAGAAAATTTAGAGAGTTTCTTGAGAGTTGTTTTCTCCTTTTTTTATTAAGAGAGAATTATCATTGTTTTCTCCTTGGTAGATCAAGAGAGGTTGTAATTCCTATTTTCTCATAGTGAAATTCTTCTACAGTTGCCCGTGGTTTTTACCCTATATTATTTAGGGGTTTTCCACGTAAATTTTGTGTCTCTTTTATCTTCATTTTTATTTTCTCAAATTATCAGTTGTAATTTTGCTTTATCTGATAGCCGTCTTCTGCAACAGTTGAACTCTCTGGAAGTCTTCAATGTGTCCTACAACAATCGGTAGCTTTCCACATGAAAAGGCTCAATTTGGGACGTTTGATGAAATGGAAAATCCTTTTCTGTGTGGACCTCCAAAGCATGAAAGCTGCACTGGAACTGGTTGGAACTGGTTCGACCCCAGTTTCACCAAATGCCTCGAAAGCGGTTGAGTGGACATGCATGCATTCTATGCGGCTTTCTGGGTTTGTTACGTAATTGTGTTGATAACAGTTGGGGCAGTCCTCTGCATGCATGGTTTCATTTCATTGTGGATAATGTTATAGCATTGTCCATATTCAGAAGAAGCTCGTAGTCTAGAATTGTCACTATTTCTCAAGAGGAAATCATCGTTTTGAAGTCGGAGTCAAGGGATTAAGCAGTCTGTTTCGCAATTAGTTTCGTGGGTTATTTCTTAATGTCTAGTGTTGTCAATTTTCAATCCATGAGGCCAATGTCGACACACTTCAGTGTTTTAATATTTTTATAACATATATGGCACTTGGTAGTCGTTTATTGTGTCAACTCATCACTTTAACTATAAAAAAATCTACATTTCAAAAAAATATTTACACAAATCTTTATACTCTTAGAATTCTAAAATAAAAGCTATTAAAGAAAAAGCCATTCTCTTTCGATTGATCTGCTAAATTTATCATTGATTTTTGTTAAAGCATGCAAAACAATGTAATATTAGTGGCGTTATAAAAATTAAACGTTTTTATTTTTATTTTTTTCTCTAAACTTCTCTCACTCTTTTCTCTAAAAAAAATCAATTTTCACCTTTTTTACCGTAAAGACTTTCTACGTTCGATGTCACCACTAAATGGTTCATCCTCTCCTTTTTCCTCATGTCGGTTTAGTTTCTATTTTTTTTTTCCAAATTCTCAAAATTAAGCCTTTTTTCATTCAAATTTCTTCTATTTGATTTATGATTTTTGACTATTGGATCGCCACCATTTAAACTAGGTCACCCATATTGTACCAAGCAAGTTTCCTATCATTGAGATTCGAAATCCGACCACGAGACTTTAAAATACGAAAAATAAACCTTTGATTATTTGTACAATTTAATTGTGTATTGATTTGTATAGTATGTTTAATATATGTAATGATTATTTTATTTAATTTTTCAAAATATTTTTTGTTGATTAAATTATAGTACATTGACAAAAAACCCCTCAATATTAAGTTTATCCATATAATGACTATCTCACTTAACCTTTTCAAAAAATCATTTTAGCAATTTCTAAAAAGAATATTAGAGATGATATTACTACGATAAATGTTTTAACATTTATTATATATAATCCACATTATTTTATCCTATCGATTAATCTATTTTGATTTTTTTAATTATTTCGGATTTGCGTTTGAATTAATCATAATTTATGATATCAATATTTTTTTTTGGGTATAATCATATCAATAGTTTAATCTCTTTTAAGTCATTTGTTTTCTTCTTATGTACTAGCTAATCAAGAAGGTGCCTCTAAAACTTAAGGGAAAATTTTATAGAATGGCAATAAGACCAGCGTTGTTGTATGGATCAGAATGTTGGGCAACCAAGAAGGATCATGTAAGGAGGATAGAGGCTGCAGAAATGAGAATGCTTCGATGGACATGCGGTAGGACTCTGTGGGATATGACAACACATTCTACTATTAGGATGTCCTTGGGGGTGGTGCCTGTTTCTGAAAAATTGAGGGAGGGAAGACTACGGTGGTTTGGGCATGTCCTTAGGCGACTACTGTCGGATGCGGTCAGGAGGGTAGAGTCGATTACAGTCGACGGTGCCAGAAGGAGAGGACGACCAAGGCGGAAGTGAGAAGACTGCTTGAGATCTGATTTGATGGATTTAGCCTTTACTGAGGACATGACCTATGATAGGAAAGTATGGAGACTAAAGACTATGGTAGTCGAGTAGTGTGGGTCACATCTCTAGGGTGTATCATCTTTGTCTTCTTTTAATGCCTTTGTAGTAATTTCCATGAATTCTACTTTTTATAGTTTCTGTTATTGGTATTTATGAAGGCTTAGAACTGGGCTTGCTATCGTGGACTTCTGTGTAATATTCTCTTCACTTTTAAATTTAGTCGGGTCTTACGTTTCTGTCTATATGCAAAGATTTTTTCGCAGGGATTTATTTGCATGGATTACTTCCCATTTCAAACGCGCATATAATATTAATGATATTTATGACTGCATATGAATATTGTTCAACTATGTATTTATGTATTTATTTATACATGCTTTGCATTTTATCTATATTTTTAATTTTCTGACTGCCGGAGGTCTTCCACGGAAGCTACTCTCAACCTGGCGTTGGGGGCAGCCTACTACCCTACCTCCCCCTTACCCCATTGCATATGGAAATTGAGTTTTGTTGTTGTTGTACTAGCTCAAGCGATTTATTATTTTATAGTCTTTTTTTAATGAAATTAAAGGTTGATAACGTGCTAGGATTTGACCGGTCAAACTTTTCAATTTTAAAAATTAAAAATTAAAATGAAGTCACTGTCTTTCTATCTCTTCGAGAAATGTTAAAGAAATGAGAGCTCTTACTCTCAAATTCCATTGTATTAACAATTTTTTAGGACAAAGATTTCGATATTTATCATCAACTTGATATATTTATGCATTTAACAATTGAAAACTGCATGTGTTTCCCTTCCACATGTATGTGTGTATATACATAACTTCGGATATACTGTGGAATTTCTTGTATATTTATAACTATTTAATTCTTTTAAATAATTTGTCTTCTTTATATTTGTTAAAAATAATTATACTATAAAAAGATGATTTGAGTATTCACAATGAAGGCAATTAACGGTTAACAATAATAATTATTTGTTTATTCAAACCAAAAGATAATAATTATTTATTATTACAAATGAAATTGACTTATTGTTATAACTTTATAATATTTTTATTTTGTATTTTCCTTTAAATATGTTTTTTTTAATTAGATGGTGTCACCAAATTATGACATCAAACTAAAGTAGTAGCTTCAAAAAGATGCATTAAGAAAAAATATGTAAAAATATTTAAAGATTTATACAAATATAAAAATAATAATAATATTTTTATAATAATATTTACCATAGTTTATAAATAAAAATGATTTGAATTAACACTCGATTAACTGATATCATTTTAACTTTTTATTCTCTATCTTGAATTTATGAATATAGCCCTCCACATACGTATGAGCAGGCTATAGTTTAAGCATGAAAAATGTGTTGTACATACATGTAAAGAGTAGAACAATAAAGAGTTGTCCCATTCATTCATGGGTTGAATAAATAATAAGTAAATCGTGTGGTAATGAGAAATGAAATTAAAAAAAAATGTACAAACACTTAACTTGGGACTAGGAATCACGTTGTGCCATTAAGACAAACCCTCCGACCAAGTGACTAAATTAATTTCAAAACATATATAGAGACACACACAGAGAGAGCTTAAAGGATTTTGAAATTAATAATAATGGTTCAGCTCAGCTTCAGTAAAAAATATCATAACTAAACTACAAGTAGAATAGCGATGATTTTATAAATCTAAACCCTTTGGTTTTTTATTTTCGTTTTATTTTTTTGGTATGCTAACATAGAGGAGATCTATGGGGAATGCCTTTCCTTCTACTCATGCTTGAAGCAATATCCTCATCCGAAACCTTATTACCCGATGATCTCCACAAACATAGCCCACTCCTTTTCTTCCTCACTATCTGATCAGAACTGTACGCCATGCTCATACTCTCCGACCCTGATGACGACCCCGACGACCAGCTCATTGGTTCGTCACTGTCGACTATCGTTGAATGTGGCGTCATTTCATCGTCTCCGTTTTCTTGGGGAATAAAGAAGTCAGGGCTGAGCGTTAAAGTGTTGCATCTCCTCAAGAATGGCGACAGGTCTTGGTAATGTTTCAGCAAAAAATCCACCTGAGAATTCAATAGTTTTCAAGCAAACTCATTCTATTGCTTATAAACCATAATTCAAGTGAATATACAGTGTGTGTATATATATACAGTGTGTGTATATATATATATATATATATATATATGTACCTTGCACCCCAGAGAGCAGTGGATAAAAGGTTCTTGGAGACTTCTATCACAAGAAGTACAATAGTTTACAGCCCCTTTGAATTGCCGGTTTTGAGGTCTCTTTTTGATGAACACCACCTTAGCACTGTTTATAGTATATGCCTAATCCAATTAAGGTCATGATTATCAGTGAGTGTTGAGCAACTTCATATATGAACTGAATTTTATAAGAAATCAAGAGGAACAGTGGGGAAAAAAGAACCAGATTATGAACTTTTGTGTGAAATGAAGAAGTAACCTGGACATTAGAGCAATCTATGAGCTTTTGAAGATCTTCCAATCTCACAACATCGTGATAAACGTAGCGACGAACCTGAAGAAGCCTATGGAAACGATGTGAGGGTATGCAATGAGGGCAAATACTAATGCAACAATCCAAACAGTAGACGTTCTTTTCGTTCTTCTTTGCACTTTCATGGAAACAACACCCAACGAAGAATTTCTGGGTGTAGAGAGCTTCCAACCATGCAGGCTTCTGAATTCCACCACACCAAAACAAAAACACCATGAAATTCAATAAACCCTAAAACCAGATGAGAATTCTGATAGAGAAAGAAAGAAAGAAAGAGACAAACCATGATGATCATAAACACTTAAAACCAGACGAGCAGTAGTTATCAAAGACAGTGGGGGAGTTGAGAGGAGAGAGATAGTGAGATAAGAGTATTTATGGAGGTTCACAAGAAAGGGAAGGGTATATATTTATTCCTTGGGGTGATACACAACATTTTGTCGATAGCTGGACTAATTATATACAAAAATGTTTAACAAAAAAGAAAGATTTAAGTAAGCTATGACGAGAACGTGGGTGCTGTTTCCATGTCTGCCATTGTAGACCACTCCTTTAAGCAATTTGTTTTTTCGTATGTGGCCTTGGCTTAAGAGCTCTTACTTATTGCTAAACTAAACTAAGCTCTTCTTGAACAAGCTGCATTTAACCAATTTTTTTTGCTTCACCTCTGTCCCTTTTTCATCTTTGAATTTCATGATCAATGATCATTTCTTGGTTGGAAATTTGAATAAAAAAAATACAGTTCGAACGTCATGTTAAGTTGGGTTTAGGCCTTTTGGGAACTTGTTTTCAGAATATTAATTAAATATACGAATTTTTTAGATGTTTATTTAATACTGAAGTTATTGTAATTATAGGTATTAGTGAAATCGAAATTAAGTTTTTATAATCTTTTAGATATATAAAAAAAATATTATTTAACATGCTGAATTAACGATGTGATTTTAAAATGTGTCCGTATTTAACTTAAAATATTTTTAATTTATTTAAACGAAAATTACATAGTATGAAGTCACAATTTATAGGTTAAAATTGGGGATGGATAATTGGATATAAGATTTAAAGTTTGCGAATTTTGATTTGATCTTATAAGATTAGCGTGTTTGTCGAAAATCTATGTTCAAGTAAGATTTAAGGTGTAAATTACTCGATCTTATATGACATGAAATAATGTGTAATTATCTTTTATATATTTAGATATAATTGCAATAATAATTTCTATATATATTTTTAATTAAATATCTATTTTACTTAATAAAAATAAAAATTATATATATTTATTAGGTCAAGTGCGAGTTTTACTCTAAAAAAGTAGGTCGATTTTGGACCGGATGAAATTTCTTTTAGCCCAAATTGACTGAATTTCAGACGGAAAAATATTTTTTTCGAGTCGAATTAACCGAACACCGATCTAACACAACTTATGCCCATTCCTAATTATAGTTAGGGCAACCATTGAAGATTATGAATATTTATAAATGTCAGTTGGTAGAGCGCAAGACTCTTAACCTTGTTGCCCGTCCAGCTCAGTTGGTAGAGCGCAAGGCTCTTAACCTTGTGGTCGTGGGATCGAGTTCCACGGTAGACAATTCATAATTCGAAAGTCTCCCACGGAAGCTGCTCTCAACCTGTCGTTGGGGCAACCTACTATCCTACCTCCCCATACCCCATTACATATGGGAATAAGGGTCAACTAATTGTTTTTATAAAGGTAGGGAGAAAAAACAGGGACATATAGGAGGAACCTGGTTTTGGGGATTAAAACATGGCAACATTCAATCCAACTAATCCACTAATGAGGATGAGCTAATGTGGTTTAATTTCCAGCAAACCTTAATGGACAAGTACCAACTCATCAAAGCACTAATTTGTTATGAGTCGCTGCCTTAATTGGTTTGGGAATTTTACTAATTTTGTTCTAACCGAGACCTAGTTTCTTGTGCCTTTAAGCTCCATCGCAAACCTAATCTTGGGGTTTGCAAAATTATTCTTCATAATTCCTCTTATGCCCTTCACTTTTACTAATTTTAATTTCAAATTGCATTGGGTTAAATATTTATAATATTTTAATTTGTTTAATTATTTTAGATTTTGATATTTTTAGTGTTTGCAAGATTAAGAGTTCCACGAATCGTGAATAACCCAGAATTATAATAGCTCATGTAGTAAGGGGCCGTCATCTAATTTTAGGTTTAATTACATTTTAAGTCCTTATAGATTTTAAAACTAAATAATATTTTCGGATTTAAATATATTTTAAGTTGATATAAGTTTTGAAGCTAGTCTAATTAAGTTTTGTCCCTTATTACTTTTGCATTCGGCGAACAAAATTAATTAAAATCTAAGCAATCTCAATAATTTAACAACCAACTAAGTGCTGTTTGACTTTGAATTTTAAACTTGTTTAAGTAGCCTGTAGCCGTGGCTGGTTTCTTGATGACACTTGAGTTCCCTTCAGAATAGGGAAACTTAAGTAGCAGTTAATTAGCAATGCTTTGGGGGTAATTAAGAAAGGTGTCTATTATTACATACATACTTTACAAAAGAAACAAAGGCAATGAGTCGACGAAGTAAAAAATATAGTGGTTTTAAATATTTTAAAAATCAGTTCCGTTGGTTAAGTACTAAATAGTGCTTTAATCATCAGAACCGACCAATTCAAAGTTTGGAACAACTCACGTGCACTCCTTAATCAAATCCAAATATTATGTATAATTTTTTTTAAAAAATGAGTAGAATGATAATTTTTGTTAAATTTATGACGGAGGCTTAATTAAATAGTATAATATTCATTTTAAATATATTTTATATTGTTAAATGATGTAATATGTTTATATGAATATATATTATAATTTAAAATTTAAATTTTCACATTTAATCAATGAATTAGTTATAAAATTATGTCGGGTTCAAATAATGATTTGCATTTAAATTTTGTAACTTTTTTCTTAATCATTGACAATGTCCACATATACTAAAAACACAATTGTTCGAATACGATTTTTTCTAAGAAGAACAATATTCACTTTTATCACTGAGATCACTCAATAAATTTGTATGATTTGAGTTTTTAAATTATAATGAACTGAGTAAATATATCCATTTTAAATTAATATAATATTATTTAATTAAATCTATCTTTTTTATTTTTAATTATTACAAGAATGGTCATTTTATTCATTTTATTAATGTAGAGAAAACCTTTTACTCATTCTAGTTTAGACTGATATTAAATCTTATGTTCTATATCAAATAATTTCTTCTTTATTTCGTATAGAAAAACTTTATTAATATAATTGTATTACTTAAAACCATTAATAAATCAAGCATAAAAAAGAAGAAGATGAATTGGTAGGATTAGATAGCCTCGCGGGGGCATCGGCAAATGACCATAAAAAGGTAGAACCTCACGTGAAGGGGGATCCAAAGGAGTCGTCCCGACTGTTATAAAGCAGAAGGTTTTGTTCTGCCTTCAGCTTGCAAATTATTCTTGCTTCCATTCCCTTTTTCATTTTTACACAATAAATTAGGCAGTCAAAGGTAAGTGAATAATCAAAAAGTTTGATTATGATATCAAAAAAATTAAAAACAATGTATAATAGTATTTCAAAATTATATTAATATTGTTTTGATATCAATTTTATTTTTAATATTTTTATATAATATAAAAGAATGAAAATATCAAGTGAGATTTTTTCAGGTCAAAGTTATAAAGCAGTAGCAGAGGAATAAGAAAGGGAGAGAGAGGTGAGCCGCACGAGGAGATCTGTCTGAGACAACATGTGTTGAGTGAGTCATAACCACTTTGTTTGTGTGTCAGAAAAATATGGGTTTGATTTATTGGCGTTGGGCGTCTCAGCCTGGTTTTTATTATATATATATATATATATTTTGTGCCTTATGGCCTATTACCTTTGTTAACAAATCCTAGCTCACGTGCACTGCCTTTTTCCAGGCACTGGATCTCGCTTTCTTTATTTATTTTTAGGTTGGTCTCAGATGAGTGTGATTTCATGTCCTCTTTTAAAAGACTCCATGTATCTATGGGTTAGTTTAGTGTTTGAAGCATGGGCGATCCCATCAGCACCATAATCATATTCAACAAAGCCATAACTGCCTAAAGCCAAAGCAAATGAAAAGTCGGATTAATCTATGCGTATCTCTATTTTTAACCGCATTTTATGTCTACATATCCAATTTCCTCTGAATTTAAAACATGAGCATTGGAGGCCTTTTCAAATGACATTGCTGTTAGAAGCGGAGGTGGACACTCAATAATTATTTAACTTGAACTATTATTGATACGAGACAAAATATATTACAACGACGTTACCCTAATATGACAACACTACAACACTAGCTGCGATTTGTTTACAAACACAAACTCGTTATTCTAAGTTTTGCTAAGCTTTACTCAATTCTCTCATAGCTTTGCTAAGCTATCTCTCATTCTTGTTTTTCTAAGCTTTTCCTCATATTCATTCTCTTGTATTACATCACATACATTGTATATATTTATAAGCTAATTAAACCGACGTATAGTTGGTTCTACATTCTTCATACCGCCTTATAATTCTTCACGTGGTCATTATCCTTCTCGAAACAACACTTTACTTGCCTTGGTGAAATTCTTCACTTGTTTGCCGCCTCAAACTTTCCTTCTTAGTAATTAAGCAAAATCATAACTAAATGTCAAGCTTTGCTGCTATCTTTGACTTTTCAAAATTTGTTTCCTTAATTTGTTGTGTTGCCACACCACCACTTTGCTGTTACAATTTCATCATGTTTTTTTATTACCACAATTTTCTTAACTATTCTAAATGTTGCTTGTTGCTTCCTTTAAATTCTTTTACTTCAAAATGCTTTCAAGCTTTGCCGACATTAATGAGTCAAAATCATATTTGACTTCCAACAATTGCTTGCGAAATTGTGGAGATGGGAGTAATATAGTATCTTCTGTTTGTTAGAGGTTCTAATTTTATACTTTTAAGACTTTTTTTTTTGGAAGAAAATTGAAGGTAGAGAAATTATAAAGAATTTTTCGTTTTCTTTGACTGGTGAGTTTGATGGGAAAATATAAATAAAATATTATTTTCATCTGTTATTTAATAAAATTATGAGACGAGAGGAAATATAAAAATTTAACAGGCTAGTGGGGTTTTTTTTTGGAAATAAACAAAAAGAAAAAAATGGAAAATCTAGTTTTGTTATGCAATGGACAGCATCTTGTTTGGGCTTTGGCACTAGTGGGCTTGCAATTACAAAACACTCATCATCATCATCATATGATAATTTGTATGCAGGTTGGTGTGATTAAACTCGATCATTTATGTATGTATTAGTAGCAAACAAGTAATATATATTTTAATGTTGCATTATATTATATAATTTTTATTATCATAGTTATATTTAA